TTTTGAATGGTTAAAATGGTAAACTTAATATATTGTATGTAGTTTTACCAAAACAGTATTGATAAAGGGATTTTTTTTGCTTGATGCTGCATTGGTCTCAGTCTCTTACTTTAATATTTTTGGAAACTTTATCTTCGCTGTTATGTTTTACAGGTAAAATGATCCATTCTATGGTAGCTCATTTAGATGCTGTTACAAGTCTAGCAGTAGATCCTAATGGAATCTATTTGATGTCTGGAAGTAAGTCTGATCTTTGTGCCTCCCATAAACCTCTTTTTTGGTACTGGGAATCGAACTCAGAGCCTTGTGCTTGCCGGGCAGGCACTGTGCCGCTGAGCTACATCCCCAGCACCCATAAACTTTCTAATAAGAATCATTACTCAATAACAAGCTTTATTTGTCTTTTTACAGGCCATGACTGTTCAATTAGATTATGGAATTTAGATAGCAAGACTTGTGTGCAAGAAATAACAGCTCATAGGAAGAAATTGGATGAATCAATTTATGATGTTGCTTTCCATCCATCAAAAGCATATATTGCCAGTGCAGGAGCTGACGCCCTTGCCAAAGTATTTGTGTGAATCAGTAGAAATTCTCATCATGACAGAAGATTTGCGTGGATGAAAAGGAGGGTCTGCATCACTGCCATCAAAAAGGTTACTGGATATGACACTACATGTGATCTGCCTGGTGAAGGCATTTGGGGCAGGCATAAATTAGTGGAAATCACATCTAAATAATGTTAGGCGAATTGACTTAACTGTCATTACTGTACTTTGTGGGACAAAAAGAAAAAGGACTCCAGTATTTGTACTGGATATGAACTGAGCATATGTTTGGGGTTTTTTTTAGATGTGTGTAAGCCAATGTAGAATCTGATCTTACAAAGACTTTTTTTTTTTTTGGACTCTGTGTGCTGCCTTAGGGTTAGGAATTTGGTGCTCCTGTGGGGGGTCATGATCTCCAAGAGTACCTTATTTTCATCTCTTAGTGATCTTATGTTTATCAGTTGAATGCCACAGATTCCCCTCTAAACTTATTTTGCTTTGAAAAAAAAAAAAGGAAAATTTAACTTAAAATATTTTAGCATTAGTTGCACAAAATGTTTGGATAAAATTCTAGTTTTTATAAGTCTTTTTATATATTTCACCTGTCACAACAGTGCTCAAGATTGAAGTTTTTCTGCATTATACAACCCTAAAACATGAGATCTCACTGACCAGCTGCCCATAACCACTTTCTTTTCTTTTTTTTGCCTAATATAGCTCAGTTAAGTCCTTCATAAAGATGCTAAATCACCTTCATCACATAAATGTCTTCATGAACCAAGGACTATTAAGTGTATTAAAGTAAAACAGTGGGGTTTAGTACTCCAAATGAACTCTTAAAAAACTAATCTTGGCATCCTATCACTATGTGATATTTTGTACATCTTACTGTATTTACAAGTTTATTTATCAAGGATTATCCATCTTGCTAATGGCCTATTATTTATTTCACTTTTTGTTGGTCTTTATATCCTTTTATTAATGTGCTAAAGAAACCTGTATATCTATTTTGGGATTCTTTAAATAGTCTAAAATAGACTAAAAATGCAATATTTTATAGTTTAAGTTACAAATCCAAAGTGTTTCCCCATCAGATACTTATCTTGGTTTACCATGATTCCAAACAGAATTATTTTGTTTAAAAATATTTGGAATAAAATTTTATTTGCATTACAAATAGGGTACAAAAAAAGTTGAATCAGGATACAGAATCTGCTGTGTTTGGACTAGTTTTCCCTGTTTTATTTTTTTAGATGTGCTTAATTTTATGGTGTAATTAAAGATTTTGTTTGTGTAATGCATGGTTAAGACAATAAAAGTATTTTTTCTAGTCTTCCAAAAACCTTTTCTGATCAGTTTGTGAGTTTTGATGAGTTTTGTAAGGTTTTTGTTTTACAAACTATGAATTGGCAAATTTTTAAGATTGTACCACAACACAAAAGTACACCTGTTGAAAAATAATGTATATAAAATGCATATAATAAATATTAAATTGTGTACCTGTATGTTACTGTTGGCCACATCATTTTATGTTAAATAATAAAGTGCAATATTCTCCATAATTAAACTAGGGCAAGGAGATGATTTCTTAGTGAGTCCTTCATTTTTATGCTGTTTTTGTATTATACATTATACTGCTTGTTGGTATTCTATTAAGATTAGAACAGTAACAGTATTAAAAACATCTTTTTGAAGTATTTCACCCCATTTGGCAAGTTTTTAAAAATTATAAAATGTTAGTCCATTCAGAGTAACTTTAAAAAAAGATGCAGTTTTAATAACTTGCTTAGACATTGTTACTCTATTAAATCTGAATTTCAGTTGATGGTGTTGTCCTATCTAGCCATACCTATTTCCATGAAAAAGTTCAGCAAAGAATAAACTGCATTATTCATTAGTTAAAAATGTCCTTGTAAATAAGGTATAGTATTACTATCTTAAAACTTTTTCCTTCCACAGGTAATATCTTTTTTTTTTGAAGGCAGTTGCAAATGGAATTAGAAGGGGGCACTAGAAAATTTACAAATTCTATTTAAATTCCTGCTGCGAAAATTAAATGACATTGTGTATTCATTGAGACACCTGGCAAGTTCTAGTTATTGCTGGTGAAACACTAAGACTTTTCAAAACTTTTTTTTGGTACTGGGAATCGAACTCAGGACTTTGTGCTTGCAAGGCAGGCGGCAGCACCACTGAGCTAAATCCCCGGGCCTCAAAACTTTTTAAGAAAAATCTTTGGTGGTTGTTCTCTGCACTGAACACTCTAATGAACAAATTAAAAGGACACTCTCCCACCTCCTCTTCCAAATCTAGTATTGTTTCTGGCAGCTATCCCAACCCATTACATTACTCTCTAATAGCAATGTAGTTAACATTGTAGTGCCAAAGTATTCACCTCTTTTGGAATATATTAAAACTAGTGAGTAAAAATTAGTATATATGTTCATTTTTCCCTTAACTAGTTTTTTGGCCAGGTATTTAGTATATTTTTTAAAGACAGGGTCTCACTGTGTAGTTTAGGCTGGAATGAACTATGTAGCCCAGCCTGTCCTTGAACTCAATCCTCCCACCTCAGCTTCGTGAGTACTGGGGATTATAGGCATGCACCACCATACCTGGCTTCATGTTATTTTTCTTAATATCAAACTGTCACCTATTGAAAAGTAACATCACATCTAATGTATTAAAATTGTAAATAAGCTAGTATATTTGAAATTTAGGCATGTCTGCTACAGTTAAAATTGTCCATTTAAAAAAATTTCTTTTTGGTTTATTAACCCCTTGATTGTTTTACAGGAATAATTGACAGTAACTTCAAGTTCTTGATTTTGTTCTTGTTGCTATAAGTCATAAAAGTATTACCTTCAAATTCCCCAGAATTTTGTCTTTTATAGAATTAAAGGGGGGAAAAAGCTATTTAGAAGAACTAATGCCTTGGAAGCATCAAGATTTGATTAAAGATTAATATTTCACTCCTGTCATTCCAGCACTAGGGAGGCACAGGCAAGAAGACTGCTACAAGTTCGAGGTCAACCTGGACTACATAGCAAGACCCTAGTCAGACAGACATACCAAGAGATCAATATAGAGATACAGATAGGTAATAGATAATTTGGTACTCCTGGTTGAGAATTTGAGGTTATGTACTGGGGGCGGGGGGGAGAAGTTAAACCCATTTTTGCTCCTCTTAAAATTCTCAATCATATTTGCAGTTTTGTTTTTTGGGGGGTTTTTGTGGGTTTTTTGGTACTGGGGATCAAACTCAGCACCTTGTGCTTGTGAGGCAGATGTAGTGCTACTGAGCTAAATCCCTGGCCCCCCGGCAGCTTTTTATTAATGAGGAGGAGGAGGGAAGTTACTGTCTTCACCATTTGATCAATTTTTTTGGGGGGGGGGTACCAGGGATTGAACTTGGGACCTTGTGCCTGTAAGGCAGACAGTCGCACCACTGAGCTAAATCCCCAGCCCTTTGATCAAATTTTTATATGCTGTCAAAGTTAAAGTTGTGTCTCTTCTCAAACATGCTTTTATTCTCTTTGCAAGGACTGTATAATTGTTGGACTGAAAAGATTTACTGGAGTATTACAACCAATTAATACAGAGGACCCTTGACTTAAACTCAGTTTGTTCACAAGGGCTCGTAACTCAGGTTGGTCAAATGAAGGCTAAGGCTTCTCTACACAACCTTGTCTTGTCTCCTACATACAGGCAGATCTCAGTGTCCTTAGACAATGTCCGAGGATTTATCAACCCCACACAGGAATGGATGTTATGTTTCTTCCAGAACTCTTTACTGGTTAAATCTGTATCTGAGACCATCTAGAAGCACAAGGAGCCAGCATTTGGGTTGTAACTCAAGACTTTATAAGTTACAACTAAACTTACCAGTTGTAACCCAAGCTGCTTATATGTCCAGTTGTAACTTGAGGGTCCATTGTACCTTCTTCAGGTCAACTCTTCTGTTGTAAAGTTTGTTACAAGTAGTATCTGCTTGAAGTGAGGTAGCGATGAGGGGACAGAAAGTCAGGCAAGATGGGGTGATAGAGCATCTCTGTGGGGAGAGTCCCTCTAGGTCATTAAGAGTTTCGATCAAACATCACAAACTTTTTGGTACCGGGGATTGAACTTGAGTCCTTGCACTTGCACAGCAGGCAGTGAAACCACTGATCTAAATCCCCAGCCCTACGAACACTCTTAAGGAAAAGTAACACTAGCTACAAAACATTTCTCTTGAAGCAAATGCTCAAAAGCATGTCATAGTGTTTAACCTGGTAATGCCTCAAAACAGTAGGCATTCAGTAAATAAGTGAAAGGTATTCAGTATTATTGTATGATTTTAAAAAAGCAATTCAGGGCCAGGGATTTAGCTTAGTGGTGCTGCCACCTGCCTCACAAGTACAAGGTCCTGAGTTTGATCCCTGGTATGAAAAAAGCAATTCAGACTGGTCTATGTATCATAGTAAGTACAGAGTTTTTATTATATCCTACAGAGAAACATGGAATAATAAAGGTAAAGTGGCATAGAGTATGTCACTAGCGATTTATTTCTTCAAACTACAATATTTTTTCTATACTTCTGCTATTTGAATCTCTTCAAAGTCCTTACTATCTTCTCAGTCCTTGGATCATTACTTTTATAGGGTACAAGCCGATCTATACACATATAAAATTAAAGATATAGAAAAATACCTGGCAATCCTCTTTTGTATATTTTCATTTGTAAGTTATGAAAATACACAAAGATTGATACTCATTTCCTTTCTATATAGCCCACAATTACAGTTCTTTAGTATGTGAAGTAACAGCTATCGATTGGTTTTTAAGAAAACATTCACTTGGGTCACACTGTTGATACTTGAACCTTGCTCATTTTCCTTATATAATCAATAGAATAACAGAGAAAGAATGTTGCTTTTGGTCTAAGTATCAGATTTTTTTATTGAGCTATGGCACTTGCATATCTATACATTTTATAGGTACATTAGAACTTTAAGATTTTAATCCATGATATCTTCTCTTCCTCTTTCCTGAGTTTCTAAGGGCCATGACTATAAAGCCTCAGTCAAGTCTTAAAAGTCTAAGTTGTAATTAGAAGGTAATAACTTTAAATGAAGGCTTATTTGCTTAAAATAGCTGTTGACATCTTTAATGTATCTGATCCTAGTATGCTATAGTATTTCAGTATCATAAGAATACAATTCATACATTAGATCTTGCACTTTTTTGTTCAGTTATCAAAATACCACCATTATTGTTGGGATTCTAAGAAATCTCTACAAATGCCTCTAATGATATCAGAGACAATTGGTTCTAAGCCTGTGAACTCTCTCGTGAAGAACGCATGTGACTCCTTTGGTTTAGAGGCCATATCTTTCAGGTCATCCAGAGGTGCCCAAGCCACACCAACAGAGAAAATGGTGATACCTACAACAGAAGTATTTTAAAATGAATTAGAAACCGATCCAGTTTATATATAAAATTATGTGTATATATCCCACATACATCAGTACACAATTGCAGAGAAAACTGCATAATAATTTCTGAAGAACTGAAATTCCCCATACCAAATTGTTGGGTAAGTTTTCACAATCATTGTGATGAGTTATGAAACAGTTTGGTCAAAACCAGAAGTCTCTGCCATCAGTATAGTTCACCATATTAACAGACTAATATTGATGACTAATACCAAAAAACCCCTTGAAGCTTGGTATCCATTTACAACAATACATTTAGTAAGCTAGGAACAGAAACTTTGTTGGCCTGATACACAGTACCTTTCTTAAAAATATCCTATAGGAAACACACATGGTTAAAAAAAAGAGATGATCAAAATTTCCCTTTTGAGGTTGGCATGAGAAAGGACTGCCTGAGCCTATCATCATTGTGTAACTAAACACTGTTAGTCCTAACCAGTACTCAAGCAAGAGAATGACACAAAAGGGTACGTGGTGAAAGTTTTCAAAGGCTGCCTTGTCTGGGGAATGGTATCTAGTCTGCTGTGGATAATGTAACTTATTTCCTTGATTTCAGTCTTTACAGTTACTTTGAAAACGCAATCATAATTTGATAGTCTAATCCTAAACAAGGGATTTATATGAATTGGATAATTTCAGTTTCATTTGAGCATTCCATCTGCATTTCCTGGAGTTACTAGAATTTTAATAACTACATTTTGGTTAGGTGGTAATTCATTAGTTGGATTCATACCCATTGCAATTTGCATCAGTCCTGATGTATTGGTTCAGCAGATTCTTAGGGGAGATTACCGTAGTCCCCTTAGTATCTTTTGAGTTTCACTTCGCTGTTCCAGATTTTATTCCCTTTCTAGTGAAACAGAGTGCTCAGAAAGACGATGTAAAGGATGTTAAAGCTACTTGAAACAATTTGATCACCACCAGCTAATCACCTCTCCCCATTACCACTGCCAGACAGAAAATACTCCTCAGTTTTTCTCACTTCGAGTACTACAGTCTAGCTCAGATTGTTCGTTAGTCCCAGTATATAATTAAAGATTTAAACAAAATTTGTGATCTAGCCCTAAAATCTTACTGTTTTCTAGCTTTTGTGACTTTCGCTAAGATAATTTTATGAAACTTACAATGTAGCCCAGCCTCCTTAAATTTAATCACAGGGTAAATGTGTATTTGAGTTTAGTTTGCTTTAGCTTAAATACAGTCCTGCTACCATAAACTAGTTCAGTATGCTCTGTTTGAGAGTGACAACAGATAGGTATGTCTTCACTTCAACACAGGTTTGTTGCCAATGTGTAAAAAATACTTTCTATAAGTCAGATGTATAGTTTAAATTGGCTGTAGCAGTTTCCGTCATACTTACAGTGGTAACTTGGTTCACGAACACTTTGCAAATAATTTGGTTCACAATCAGAGGTGTTTGGCAGAATTTTATGTGTGCAAACTCTGCATCAGGTGACAAGATTGTGGCCATCTTTCCCAAAATCATAGAACAAATTAAGTCATGAACCAAGGTACCAGTGTATTTTATCAATATTTATAAAAATATATAATATACACGAGGAGAGGTTCTGATGTATAGAAATGAAAGAAAGTCATTAGGAATTAAGGCGGAAAGAGATGGCAGAATATCCAAGAATGTAAGGCTGTTGATTCTCCTAAGTTACTGAGTTATTTCTCCAGAAAGGGAATGTTTTTGCTGGCTTGATTTCAGCAACATAAAGAAATACTAAAGTTGGGGTGAAGAAGTATTATCACCAGTGTATTATCTCAAGAAGGAGAAAAAAACTAGGAAAAGTTTCAGTGGGATAGGATTAAAACTTTTACTGGAGACCCTTGCATCTTAGAAAACTCATGCCAGACTAAAATCTAAAACAGATTAGGATAAAGAATCGAAAGGTAAGTTGTAGGTAACTAATTTATTTGGGATGTAGTCCAAATTTAAGCCAAACATAAACACCAGTAATGTAAGTCCTCAACGTGAGATGGTTGTTAGTGTAGTTCTAATAATCCAGTCAGTGGGTAGGAATGTGGATTTTGAAACCAGAATGCCTGGGTTTCAATCCTTGCTACTTAATAGCTGTCATTCTGGGGAAGTTTGCTCATCTGTACAATGAGATGAATAGGACTGCTCTGATAATTAAGTCAGCTAATGTTGGTTAATGATCTGAGAACACCGTCACACTGCAGGTATACAGTAAAATAAGTGATTAACTTCGTATTTACCTCAAAATAAAACCACTTCTCAGTTCCATTCCCATATGAAGGAAAAGGACCTCACCTGCATCATGTGCTTCAGCAGCAGGGCCTCCGACATCATCATAGGACTGCCCGTCAGTGACGATCACCAGGAAGTTCTTGTTGGGACTATCCCTCACGGGACCAAACACATTTCTAACGGTAAAGGAAATGGCATCACCAGTAGCTGTTCCTCCACTCATATAGCGGATGCTCCTGATAACAGCTAGGACATTCTCTTTGGTGCTATAGTCGGTGAAACTGAACTCTGTACGCTGATCATAAGTGAACTGCACAGCAGCTATCTTGGCACCAATATCTGAGATTTCAAAAGTCTTCGCTATGTTGGAAACAAATTCAAGCACGAGGCGGAAATTACTATCCCCAACACTGCTGGAGCCATCAATTAGGAATGCAATGTTCACCGAGTTATAACAGGTCTTGCTGCACATCATTTGCTCATGAGAGCAGAGCTTCTGTACCAGAGGTTTTACATATTTTGTGGTGCCAAACCAGTTGGGCATGTGGTAAGAGAAGAAGCCATTATTCCGACAGACAGCCTAATGGGGGAGATATATAAAAGATATTCAAAAGAATCAAAAATTGTTTCTTCTGAAATTGTGAAAACATTAAATCTTGAGTGATCAAAGTTAATCTAGATAAAGGCTAGTCAGCACTATGCTTAGAGGTCCAAAGTTCAATCCATATCACCATAACTGAAGATACTCTCACCACCTTACCTTGTCAGCAAATGCAACATCCTGAACCATCCCCAGTTCTTCAGGGATAGGCTTGGCCACAGAAACTATGAATACATTGACTCCAAACTCTCTGGCCACAATTCCTGCTTCTTCAATGTCATCAGAAGGCCAGCCATCAATAAACACCACTACCACTTTGGGGATCCCTTTCCTCATTCCAGTGTCTGCTGTGAAGAATTTCTGGGCAGTATGCTTCAATGCTTTTCCTAGGTTTGAAAATGAAGCAAACCAGCATTGAACACTCTTAAATGACATTTGTTTCCCTGGAGCAATTTGGCATCATTAATTTATATGATACTTGAGTCTATAATAAATACATAAGTTGGGAAAGTTTATCCTTTAGGCCTATTTTTTGTCCTCAACCCAACTACTTCCTCTTTCACCTCCCAGAAACTTCACATTTCCTTAACCCTACATCAGTCAACAGTCAAAAACAGAACTGACCCCTTGCTCCTGTCATGCTCTCCTGCCCCTTGGTGACTGATGAGTACCTCTAAGGACTCAGAACAAGAATTCTCAGAGGGTCACTTGTGCTACTCTAATTCTTTCTGCCACATCTGCATTCATTAGTCTGTTGACCTTTGCTGCTTTTTAGTGCTATAAACAAGTATTTCTCTGAAGTTATCTCTGACCTGTCCAATGTAAAGATTATATATCACAATGTTTTCATTTTTTAAAAATTATCAATTATCTCCTTGGTATATTTTCCATTATAAATTGAATATTTATCTCAGTTGATCAAATGCAGACCTAGCGATAATTTCAGTGCCAAGAAGAAGAGCTTCACATCTGCTTATACAAAATGACATAATACTGTTTTACATGTCTCATCACTAATAACCTAACTCTTTACTGTATTGCCCAAAGTTTACTTACCTGTATTGGAATTACCCCCTCTGAAACCTACTTCCTTCACGGCAAACAAAACATCTTTGGCTGATGTAAAATTTTTCAGGTAAAACTCTATTTTGGGATGTTCACTGTAATTAAAAAAAGTTATCCAGGGAGTATCACAAAGGCAAAACATGCAACATTAGATGCTTTTAAAAAAAACTTCCAAATCACACAACAACTCAAGTTTCATTTTTAATCCTAGTCAACTAAGACACTACATCATTACTTGAATTACTGGGGCTATTTCAGAAATGCAACATAATTGCTACACTGAGGGTTTATTATATCCTGGATAATAAAATACATGTATAATCTCATTTCATCATGTATCTGAGGTACAGATTATTATCCTGATTATTATATAAATGAAACAGGCTCAGAGAACCTAGGTCAGTGATGGCAAGCCTTTTAGAGCTTTCAATGATAAAACAGCTGGCTGTGGCATGTGTGCCATAGGTTCACTACCACTGACCTAGGTAATCTGCCCAATAAAACAGCTAGATTGTATGGCTCCAAAATCTATGCCTAAACAGTATGTATAGCACCTGAAACCCACCTTGGCCCAGAGGCTCAGGGTTAGTGGAAGGCTGCAGAGCTGGACACAAGGTGCCTAGGAAGAAGCTGGTTGAGACTAGGTCTGCTGCAGTGAGGGACCCTGGACGTACTGAGCAGCCTGAGTCTATTAACCCAGTTCTCTGATCAGAAGGGACAATTTCAATTATACTAAGACCAAAACTATAAAAATGGAAAAAGTTATAAGGACATGAATTATATTAAATTTTTCTTATAATAAATGATAATGACATTTACCAATCTTAAGATTATATGTAAGAGATTTACTATTAGCTGGGTGTGGTGGCATGCACCTGTATGTACTCCTAGCTACTTGGGAAACTGATGTAGTAGGACTGTTTCAGTTTAATAGTTCAAGACCAGCCTGGGCAACACAATAAGACCCTTTAAAAAGAAAAAAAATATGTGCATATAAACATACATATATGTATATAACATACATGAAAATTACTACAGGGGACTTGCCTCATGGGCTGTTAAAATGTACAATAAAGCTATAGTCATCAAAACAGTATAGAGAGGCCGGGTGTAGTGGTGCATGCCTATAATCACAGCACTTGGAAGGTTCGAGGCAGGAGGATTGCCACAAGTTCATGGCCAGCCTGGGCTACATGGCAAACCCTGTCTCGAAACAAACAAAAAACAGTATAAGAGAGGATGTAAAAATTAGCATAAAGCCAGGCATGGTGAAATATGCCTGTAATCTCAGCACCTGGAAGGCTGAGGCAGGAGAATTGCCATGAGTTTGAGGCCAGCCTGAAATACATGGGGAGACCCTGTCTCAAGAAAAGAAAACAAACATATAAAGCTGGGCATGGTGGTACATGTCTATAATCACAGCTACTTAAGGAGGCTGAGGCAGAAGGATTACAAGTTCAAGGCCAATCTGGCAACTTAGTGAAACCCCATTTTAAACAAAAAGGATTTAGCATATTGATTAAAGAAATAGACTTGTGTGTAAAAATGCTACTACAGGGCTGGGGATGTAGTTCCACGAGAGAGTACGTTCCTGGAATGCTTGAGGGCTTGGGTCCAATCCCTAGCACCACACACACAAAAAGCAATAGAATAAAGTGAGGTATAAATAGTTAAAATATATAGAAAACAAAATTAAATAGTCATCTCACACCAAAAAGAAACTCTTAAGAGCAGAGCCAACTGTAAAAAATAACAAATGAAATATAAATTAGTGTTTGTAGTAGTTCTGGTGACTACTTGTACACTGTTCATAGTAGTTTAAAACTAGCTCATCTGTTCAGAAAGCAATTTAGTTATTTCAGAAGCTTTAAAATTGTCAGAACCTCATATATAGGAATCTAGCTAATAACATAATCAGAGATAGGCACAAAGATGGTATAAGGATAATGTCATAGTGTAATGTGTAATGGTGACAAAGCAAGAGAAGAATGGTTAAATCACCAATCACCATACAAAGGAATATATGAAATGTCAGTTTTTGATGAGTACTTATGAGAAAATGCTCAAAATACTATGGAATGAGAGGATACAAGAGACAGTCTTTTGAAGAGAGTAATGGCAGGAGAGAAAAGAATAGACATCACTGCTTCTTCCTTCAGAAAAAGAAACTGGGAACTGAGCAGAGTAGATGTGAGGGATTACGCGAGCAACAGGACTTTTGCATCTACCTTCTTGTCCTCATATATACAGGCAGTCTCTAAATCCTTTTATTCCAAAAGGGGCCCTCAGTCTGCCCAGGTACTATTTTGTGATGCTGGAAGTCCAACCCAGGGCCTCATAATTCACTAGGCAAGCATCTGCCCAGGCAGTCTTCAATCTTGAATTTATAGTTTAGAAATCCACCTTGTCCACAACTCAGCATGATTGTATTAAACCAAAGTGAATGTGCCAGGTTGGTAATTTGTCATTCAATACATCAGTCACGTCTCATTTTAACAAAGTTGGTACCTGGCTTGAACAAGGCCCACGTGAGGTCCTTCCATTCCAATTCCCAACATTAATGCCACCTTCCCAACAAAATTCTTCTGCAAATTAAAGCGGCGCTGCCCAATATTAAAGCTTCCATCAATTAGAAATGCAATGTCTGCTTTACAGTCTGTGAATATCAAACAAGTCCTCTCATTAGCAGTGTCAGGAAAAGGCAGAGGAAATGCTACTTTCACAAATGGATATCTCATTCTTACCTTTATTGCCAGTTTTCTTCTCAGGTGTTTTCTTTAGTTGTTTGCCTGAAACAAAAGCAGTACTTCGCATTAGCAGTAGAAAGGCATTTTGGTTTTGGGGGGCAGTCCTGGGGGTTAAATCCAGGGCCTGGGACATGCTAGGCAAGTGCGCTACCATTAAGCTAGATCCATAACCCTTTCAAAGAATTGTGAAACAGTCTCGCTGCCCAGGCTGGCCTTGAACTTGTGATCCTTTTGCCTCAGCCTCTCGTGTAGAACTGTACCTGGATAGGAGCGTCTTTTTTTCCAGTACTGAGGAGATTATACCCAAGGCCATTGCTACACACTAGCCCTTTTTTGAGACAGAATCTTGCTGAGTTGCTAAAATGCCTAGGCTAGACTCCAATTTAAGACCCTCCTGCCTCAGCCTCTCACAGTGCAGGATTATAGAAAGGCATTAGAAGTGTCATTCTTGAAAAGACTTTTAAAAAAAATTTCCTTATGATTTTCTAGACTGAGGAAGCAATGCCCGAACAAAGAAATGACTATAGAAGGGACTATAGGAAGCCTACATATTTGATATGCCTCTGACTTAAGACTTTTAAAATTCCAAACCCACACTTGATGCCAAGATTGGGAACTCAGAGCCTAAAGTTCTTAATTTCTTTGATTTTAAAATGGCCATAGTTGCTATGTGTGTGATATACTCAGGAGGCTGAGGCAGGAGGATAGCAAAGTTAGAAGCCAGGCTAAGCAACTTAGACTTTGTCTTAAAATTTTAAAAGCCTGGAGGTGTAGCTTAGTGCTCCCTGGTTTTAATCTCCAGTTTTTAAACATAGTCTTAGAAAGGGGGATCCCTGGCTATTTTTTTACAGTAGACACACACAGCAATCCTTTTATTCATATGATAATAAGTAAGACAGTAAATATGACAGTGCAGTAAGGGAATTTAGTGAAGCAAATGAAAGCAGAAAGTTCATGTTCTTTAATGTTGGCAAGTTCCTAGGCACGTTCTATCAAGTCAGGTAGGGCTTCAAGAGAATAACTGTCAGCAAAGTTTATAGTCAAAAATACAAGAAGAAATTTTAAATATAAATTTGAATATTTCTGTGCATAATATATCAGTAAACATACAATATTTACTTTGCTTCTTTTTTGTAAGGTTTAATCTTGACTGTCAACTTACTGGAATGAGAAATGCATAGGAAATTAGTAAAGCATACTTTTGGATGTGTCTATGAGGGTGTTTCCAGAAATGACTAGCACATGGGACAGTAAACTAAGGAGGGAGACCTGCCCTGACTATGGCAACACTATTCAATTGAGTGGAGGCCAGATGAACAAAAGCAGGAGGAAGCCATTAGCCCAAGCTCTAGCTCTCTCTCTGCTTCCTGGTTGCCCTGAGGCAGCAGCTTTCCTCCACCAGGATGCTTCTCCCTTAACACAGGCCTAAAAGCAATGAAACCAGCTGACCATGGACTGAAATCTCTGAAACCCTAAGCCAAAATAATTCTTTCTTCCTTTAAAAGTTGTTTCATCAAGTATTTTGCCACGTTTTTAAAGGAAAGCTTCCATCAGTAACATATTTCTTTATAATTTCCAAATGCTGTGAAAGGCAACAAGGAGATACAGATTCCATGTTTCATACCTGTTGGTGGACGTGCTGTGGACGCTGCCTGTCCCGTGGCTTCTTGGGTACTAGTTTTGCCTTCTGTTAAAATAAAGATAAGTCTACTTGTTCTTCTTCCTTCATCACCAAAGCATTATGAATCCAATTTAGGGTTCGGATGATAAATGTAATAGGGTAATGGTGATGATCAGTAGAAACGTGCTGCACATTACTTTCAGAGAACTCAAATAGAATCTCATCTATTATATTTAAAAGGATCATCAAAAATGAATTCACTAGCTTTGCAGGTTAGTGTTACTTGGTAAATGTCCAGGCATTCTGACCATAGGCGATTCATATTTCTACTGCTACTATCTCACAGCAAATTGTTCTTTCCTTATTCACCTAAGTTTGGCTTGTGTGATATGTGACCTTTCTGGTTTCCTGGCTGTACCCCACAGTTGACCTCTTCCTGACCACAGATTTTTCCCATTAGAATCAAAAAGTTTGGCCAAGGAAAGCAGAAATTTTTTTTTTTTTTAGGGAGGGGGCCAATATTTGTCAAAAGTGAGAACAATTGTACCTACTAGTTACTGTGAAAGAAGCAGACCATCTGGAAAGCGCTTGAGACCGGATCCCATTGGCATCCACTGAGGAATAGTTTTCTCGACCAGGTAGGCTATACATTCGTACAGGTCCCCCTGAGATGCTGATTACTCCTCTGCAACATAAGAGTAACAACTGAGACACTATCTACACTTTTTCAGGGCATCCAACTGACTTATTGTGCCATGCTGCATCTATTGCTCTCATTAATCAAGAAAATAGTTCAGCAAGGAAGTCATCTAAGCATAATGCCAGTCTTTTCAAAACTTGCCTACACTGGAACAAAACCTGTTGGGGAAATGGTTATATGCTGTCAAATTTCTTCAGTGTTGATAAGAATACAAATGTATTAGCCTGTTTCCTACAGCTCAGAAATGTAGTTAATAAAAGGTGCCAAATGGGCTGAGGATTTAGCTCAGTGGTACCGCCACCTGCCTCACAACCGCAAGGTCCTGAGTTTGATCCCCGGTACCAAAGAAAAAAAAGGGTGCCAAACAATTGGGTCCCTAAGATACTCCACATGTGCTTGGATTGCATTTTTTAAAAGTGTCTCACACGGGCAATTGTACTGAAGGATACCATGGCACTGGCTAACAACTGTGACTTGGGCAAGATACTTAACAACTGTCTAAATTCAGTATCCTCATCGCTAAAATGGAGTAAAATTGTACCTACCTTGTAGAATTGTGGAAGTTAAGAAAATGGCTGGCACACAGGACAAAACTTCATAATACATGAAATAATTAGAGCTGTTTCAGAACCACCAAGGAGTCTAACCACCAAGAAGTAATGCAATATGCCCTGTCAGAAAGCTTCCCTTGTGTATTTGATGTTTCAAGGATACCCAAGAAAACTTTGAAACTATATCCATCTTCTATGGCCACAACTGGCACCAAAGGAAAGTGAGGAGGAAGGTGGCCCAGATGGCTTACAGTGGGAAAATAATTATGTTTGCATCTCCCCCACCCCCACAGCTGCCTTTGTGCTTACCTATGGATAGCGGCACCACATATGCTGGATACTGAAGCATAAACTATGTTCCCGAACACAGAGAATTCCTCAAGAGGGCAGCCCCCTGGGCAGAGGACATCTGCTTTCTCTTTCCTGATGTCCAAACCTCTGGTAAAGCATGTGATAGGAATAGGAACTGAAGAGAAAGGGGGGAATGGGATAAGCACCCTTAGGACCTCTTGGGGAGTCGTGGAGGAGGAATTAGGGAATGAAATTTAAGTTTTACTTCCCTAATTTCTACTCTTCTACCAACAATATTGACTTACCCACCATTCCACACCATTCCAGATTTTAGGGAGCCAAAAGCTGCTTTTGCAATTTAATTTAGTCCCCAGCCACTATAGAAATCTAATGTCACAATTTTCTCAGTTCTAGCTGTTTGAAAGCACATAATTGGAAATACATCAGATCTAGAAAATAACAGTCATTGAACACTTATTCTAGAAATGTAAAAATCTCAACTTTGATAAAACTGTGTATATAGTTCAAAATAGTAAATTTGAATTGAGCTTTTTGGAAACATTTTCATAGGTCTGTGAAAAATCTAAGTTATCTCTCCCTTCATAGGGCCATTTGTCTTAGTTATCTTATAAATGTAGAGCCTTAAAATCACATGTTCACTTAAGCAAACCAGTAAAACGATCCTTAAATTCACAGAATGTTATTTAGCTCAACTGTTCATCTTACAGATGAGGAAATTAGAGCCATGTGTTCAGAGAACTGAACACAGGGAAGTAAGTCCCACTAGAATGGAGCGTTTTCATCTTAACTGAACCTGATTATTTCTGCTCCAGATCTGTCCAAAGAGATGTATCAGCCAATGAACGCATTTTTAGAAAGCACTGTTAACATGCTCAAGTTTTAAACAGTCAACTTGACTAATAATAAAAAATTTTACTAAAAAGATGCTAGACAGAGACAAGCCCTTGGCAATGCGTGACAAGATAACATAATACAAAACATTAATCTGTCAACTTAATATAGATATTGAGATTAACGTTATTAAACACCATTTTCCAAACGCAAGAAAATGTGGTTATTGAAAACTCTCTGAAACAACAACAACAACAAAAAAACCCTCTCTTTTTCTAAGAGGAATACTGTCTGGATAATGCCCAACCGAGCAGCTGCCTCTGACAAGGACACTCTTCGGTGGACTCTGTTTTGGACTAGAGAAGTCCATGGAAAGGGAAGAGAGGATGCTGGGTACAGGGCTGACTCCTCAGCTCCGAAACGCTCTAGAGAACCCGGGAAGTTAAAATCCTTAAGGAAAACAGGAACCTCCTGGTTGTTAACAGTCTAGATCCTCCTCCCATTTTTGGCTGAGGAAGGGGCAGTATTGGAATTTGGGTCAGAAACTGTCTTCAGCTGCTAAGACTGACTTTGCTGAGGGAAGGATGAGAAATGCATTCGGGTACAATACTTATCCTCACGTCTACTTTTCAGGGAAAACAAACATATTTTTGAAAAGAGTTTGTCTTTTACATTGTAGGAAAACACACCGAACCACACCCTCGGACCGGGACCTCTACTCGTGCAACAAAAACTCTTAAAACTGTGGGCAAGCGAATGGGACTGCCAAGCTGCTTTTCATAAAGATGACATCTAGAAACCCACCTACGTGGGACAACATCAGCCTCCCTCTCTCGGGCACGACAATCTAAAGGCTTCGCCTCGACCCCAAGCGCTGCGGAACCCCCTGGGACTGGTGTGTCCCGCAATGGAGCTCAATGAACACCTCTGCCTCCACCTCCCTTTTCGGCACTGGGGGAGGTCACTGGGAGGGGTGGGCGGGCGTGTGGCAAGGCTTCCTTCTCCCCCATGCGAACTCGGATCTCTCTCGTGTGGGAGAACTTGGTGACCCCGAACACATCAGGGATCCCGAACACATCAGGGGCCCCGACGTGCGCGCCCTCCGCCTCTAGTCCAGGACCGAGGTCAGGGGACTCGATCTAGACCCCGCTGCCAAAACTGCTGGTGCTCGGCTCCTCTGTCCGCCCGGACCAACCTCTCCCTGGAACCCACAACTCACCGGCTCCCTCGCTGCCCGTGGGATCCGGCAGTAGCAGCAGCGAGACACCTGCGAAGAGAGGAGGAGAGGAGAGCACGAGGCTGGTCCGGCCGCACAGCGCTCGGCGCTTGGGGAAAGGGGAAGGGAAAGGACGCGTACGCACCGAGGCAGAAAACTGGGATCCAGGCTGCAGACATGGTAGTTGAGGGGGTGTGCGGACCTAGGAAAGAGCGAGACAGAGGGAGGGCGTTGGGCGCGCGGGGGAGGGTGGGGCGTCCTAGTCTCTAGCGCACAGCGCCCCGCTGTCCCCTCCGCACCCAGGGCGGCCCGGACAGGGAGCAGACCGGCAGGCGAGCTGCTGCTCCGGGAGGCGGCGCCCCGGCTGCAAATGGAGCCAAACCCAGAATCGAGGTGCAGCCCCGGAGTGGGAGTGGGAGTGGGGGTGGGGGTGGCGGTGGCAGTGGGCAACAGGAAGGCAGAGAAGCTGGGAGCTGCAGAAGGTCGGGACCGACGCCCATCAGGGATCCCGCCCGCGCGCGCCGGCCCGGGGGTGCTGCTGCACCTGCGTGGGAACCGCCCGGCTGCGCCCGAGTGCGGAAAGCGGGGCTGGGGCTGCCGCTATAAAGGCCGGGCGCGCGCATGAGCACTGCGCGAGGGACGCGCGGGAGGCAGCTGCGAGCGGGTCCCTCGGGCCCGGGCTGGGGCCGCGCAGCCCCGCCCCCTCCTGCGGCCCCCGGAGGCCGGCGTACAGGCGCCTGCCCCCGCGGCGCCCAGCCTGGCCCCTTGACGCGGCGTCCCTCGATCCTCAAGGAGTCCCGGAGGTCCCAGAGTCCCGGGAACGGGGTGGGACCAGGCTTTCGGGCGCGTGTGGGAAAGGGCGGGAAGGATCTCCAGGGCGCACGCGGGACGGCGTCGGGCGGGACGGCAGGCGGGGGTGGCGGTCCCAGTGCATGGTCCCCGCCGTCATCTCCCTGGCTCAGCTGGACCAAGGCAGCTGAGCAGCGCAGGGTCCGCAGGAGAGCTACCAGGTCCTCAAAACTTCCCAACCTCCTGCTCTGCTGGGATGAATTCCAACTCCTAAAGCGCAACAAACCTGGATTTGCCAAACGCGTGCCCTCTGTTCGCTAGGAAGTCTGCCCAGCGCCTGGCTATTTGTTGGGGGTTCAGACTTCGACTTCGTCTCTGCTGGCGGTCCGTTGCCCCAGGCGGACTACATCTACGGTAATGGGCACAGCCACGCCTCCAGTAGACCAAGAACCATTTATTTATACCTGATTGCCCTTTCAGGTTCCCAGACCTGGTGTCTGTGGTGGTTGCACACATTCTTGGATTCTTAATGTGTGATAGCCTCCAGCCCCACCCCAATTATAGCATTTATAGGTAGACAAAAAGAGGGCCAGGCATTTAGCTCAGTGGTTCTGCCACCTGCCTCACAAGCACAAGGTCCCGAGTTCGATCCCTGGTACCAAAATATATACATATGTAGACAAAAAGAGAAAGCAGAATTCATGAGGCAAATGAATTGGTATGGTAGCTACCAGCCCCAGATAGGGACAACCATGAACTTCCTGGTACAATATCTTTTTTTTTTCCAAATAGGTTTCCAAATATAGTTTATGTATTACAAATTCATCCATTTTAAGAATATAATTCAATGCTTTTTTAGTATATATAGTTGTGTAACCCTCATAATCCAGGTTTAGAACATTTCTAGCACTCTCAAAATGATCCTTTCTGCAATCTCTTTGCACACTCTCAGTCCTAACCACTGCCCTACTGCTTCTCCCTATGGACTTGCCTTCTGGATTTCTTATAAATGGAATCATACAGTGGGGCATCTTTCAGTAAGTCTGTTTTTGAGGCTCATCCACTCTGTAGTATATATGAGTACCTCCTTTGTGTTGCTGAATGCTATTCCTTTTTTTTATATTGAGAAACACGTCACTACCACTTGGAAGCAAAACAGTGTAGTAGGATTGCAACCATTTTCTTGATTAGAATGAATCACTATTTTCACCAGGCAGCTGGGGAATATTTTCATTCCTCTGACTACCTGAATGTCTTCTGAAGGAAAGAGACATTCGTGATCTGGATCATTTTTGATGCTTCTTTTCATGATTGCTTTAAATGTGGTACTAGAGAGAGTCACTCTTTTCTTAGAAATCCAGTAATCTGGCCACTACCCCCTTGTATTTCAAGCTTCAGGGAGAATTTCAGGCTTGAGGACAATTAAAGCTGTCTTTTTCATTATTGTTTATTGAATGTCCTCAATCAGGTTTAGATAATCTCTTCCAGGTAGGCTGGGCAAATTGTCCTGTATAGCTCAGGAGACTTCGCAAACTGGAAAAAGCCACCTCTCCACAGCTCAGCAGGCAGGTGCCCAAATGGCCAAAGAGGTACTTGCCATTCAGAACTCCCACACACCATGGGTCACAGGCAGCCCTCCTGTAATGTAATTTCACTGAGTGATTTGGCAGAGGCAAAAGAATGCAGCTATTTCCATGATAGACCCTGAGTCTGTGACTATTAAAAAATAAAGGAAATAGCTCATGGAGTTTCATGGTTGTTTACCCAAAAAGTCATTTTAATTATTTTGTTTTGAAACATTTAAGAGAAGTTAGTCTTTATTTGTTTTCTCTTCTGGAAAGGCCAACCAAGGAGGCTGGAGGAGTGGAGATGAGATTTTTTTTTTTCTCAGTTTGTATCTCAAGCTCACCACAAGTATATGGAGAAATCTTAATTTAGGAAGTTATTGCCTCTGCTTTGGAAATGTCTGGAGACAGGAAAGTCACAGCTGGGTGCATTTGACTGGAAAAGAAAAAATTGTTAAAATCACAGAGTTTTGTATCCAATTGGGTGACATTTCAGGGTATTTACTCCTAGGTTGCCTGTTTAGTTTATTCTGCTTTCATTAAGAGTATTTGATATTCAAAACTGAGACTAACTCCCTATAGAGCAGTTCGTTCTTAACTGGGCTGCACATTGGAACCACCCTGGGTGCCTTAAAAAGTGCTGATGCCCAGGTCCCATCCCTGAGATTGGAAAGTCCTGTGATTGCCCTGGGACGGAGCCAGAGCAGTAGGAATTTTTAAAGCTATCCAGGTGATTCTCCTCTCCAGCATACATAAAATTTAGCTCAATGTTAGAGGTTAAGCTAATAAATCTAATTTCTCATTCATCTTTCATTATCTTCTCATTAAAATTTCACCTTCAGTGTGCTTACGGTGTTCCCCCTGTAAAACGAAGGCATCTTCTGCCCTGGTGGTTGGTTTAAAAAAATGCCTAAAGGAAGGATTGCAAACTCAATTTCAAAAGTAATTTTCTTTGAGTGTGTTCTCTGGTTACATTCCTGACTTTGTGTAGAATTATCGACATTGTTGGGGAATAAGCTGGCTCTAAAATTGATATCGTAGGTGCATCTCTAGGCTTCAGGATGCTGCTAATACCCCTAAAAGAGTTTCTCAGGAATAGCATGGTTATCTGCTTGTATTTGGTTTAAGTCAAGCTCGAAGTTTACAGGAACTCTTTGCTCTGTTTTTACCTAAGAATTGAGTCTGGCATTACCCTGAAGATTTTAAATTTTTGTTATTTGCCTTTTTTTTTTGGTGCTGGGGATTGCAGGCGGCAGAACCACTGAGCTAAATCCCCAGCCCTGTCTTTTAGTCTTCAAAGGAGTATCAGCCCTGCCCCATCCCTTATACCACTTGCACTCTTGTAAATTGTTACTTAGCTAATGCGTATGCAAAACATAGTCACTTGATTTTAGTTATGGTGACCTTAAGGCCACCTTAGTTATCTTGTAGCATCCCAGAAGTTTCTATAATTAATTATACGGAGCAAAATCAGCTTGTGAACTCTTATCACCTGTTATTGAATCCACAGTCGTATTTATTGTATAACTACCTTTTCTGGTTCTTTTCCATTGTTAATATCTTATTCAAAGCAAGTATGCACATCTAGCCTTTCATTTTTTTCTTTTTTTTTCAGCAGTACTGACAATTGAGCCTCGAGCCTTGCACTGAGGTACATCCCCCGCCATTTTTATTTTGAGACAGGGCCTTGCTACATTGTTCAGGCTGACTCAAACTTGCAATCTTCCTGCCTCAGCCTCCTGAGTAGCTGGGGCTATAAGTATAAACTTTCAGTTTTTGCTGATGTCTAGCCTCAGAATAAATATCCACAGCCTCTGAGGAATAAAATTTTTAAAGTTAATTTAGGGGCTTGGGATGTAGCTCAGTGGTGGAGCACTTGCCTACCATGCACAAGACCATGGGTTAAATCCCTTGCACCTGGGGAAAAAAATTCAAAAAATTAGATTCAAAGATGGCACTGTTGTGGAAGGGCCACTCTCCATGTCTGGGGTGGGGGGGAGCTTTTTACCATGTAGTGATATCAGCCTCTGTGTAGTTCTGAGGTAACTCTGTAACAAATTATTCCCAACCAGACTATAGAATGTTAGTGTATACCCAACCACACTGTAAAATGTTAGTGTATGCCCATATAGGAGACAAAGACACAAGAATTGTGTGAAAGGGTGCAAGGACGCCATGTTCGGCACTCAGCCTTTGGATGTGAATCTGCTGTCAGTCCTGGCAGGAATAAAGCTGCTTCCTGGGAAAGGGCCTTGGTGTCCAGTCTCTCTACATGAAAATCCCACAGCACTGTGACCACCAAGCCTCAGTGTCCTATCCTGTAAAGTGAAACAGACCAAGCAATTGGAAGGACCTTTCCCCTGGCTACCCTCTGTGCCTGGGCCTATGTATGCTCCCTGAGCAAACATTAGGTTATAGGGGCTGTGTTGTCTTCCAGGGGTCAGGAGGTGCACTAGGAACTGCATACTGGCTATGCCACTTGGCTCCCAGCTGTTCAAGCACCCACTTCTTATGCAAAGTCTCTTTTTATTCACCCCTTACTGCTAGCAATGGCTTGGATCTTGTCTGTCCCTCATTTAACAAGAAATAATGAGGTCACATTGTCACTGGAATACCACTTGGACTTCCTTGGTAAGGGAGGGCACTGCGACAGGGAACACAGATTAGCTCTGTCAGATCAACACATTCCATACATGGTCCTCAAGGGAAGGATCTTTCTTCCCCTTGTGCATTGCTCTACCCTGAGTCCTCAGAAAAGTGTCAAGGGGGCTGAATGGGTAGTTCAGTGATGGGGCACTTGCTTAGCTTGTGCAAGATTCTGGGATCAAGCTCCAGCACCAAAGGACAAAAAAGAATTACATCAACATAAAATGGTTCCTTGGGGGACTGTGGGGGTAGCTCAGTGGTATAACACTTGCCTAGCATGAGTGAGGCCCTGAGTTTGAATCCCACATCACAAAAAGGAAAAAAAGAATGTCAAGCACACAGATATTTAAAAAATATTTGTTCATTAAATGAATAAGTCCCATTCTGTCTTGCCATTTTCTAATTTGTACCTTTTTTAAACTTTTTATTTTAGGTTTACAGAAAAATTGATAGTACCGAGAGTTCTTGTATGCCCCATGCTCAGTTTCCCCTATTATTAACATGTTACATTAGTATGTTT